CGAAAAGAAATTGAAATAAATCAAAATTACCCTTATTTTTCATTCTAGAATGACTTCAGATCTTAATATGAAACTACATTTCTTTATCCTAAATAGCTTTACATTCATAACAGTATACATCTATTTATACTTAAACTAACATAAAAGTTTCCTATTTTGGCATTTTAGTTACTGTCTTCTTTTTTTTGCTGTTGACTGTCGATGACACTTAACCCTAACTTTTATATGAATGGTAGTACTGCACTAAATAATTTTTTATTTAATTAAATAATGCACTAAATTACACAAAGTAGTAATATGCAAAAAGTAGACAATATCCTGTTACTACCACAATTTTTCTAGTTTTCTAAGTCTGTAACAAGAGATGTTAAAAATTCATCTAAACTCATAGATGTGTTTCTCATGGGACAAAAATTTTAAGTGGAAGCAAAATATAAAAATTCTCTGTAAAAAAAACCAACCTAATATAATGTCATTTGATAGATTAAAACCTTGGCTTTCTATTGGTTATAAATAATATTGTAGACTATAAAGATTATACTTTGCCTGAATGATGACAACATTATATTGAGTAATTTACATTAAATTTTGTACTTCTCAGAGTGGTGGTAAATAAATTGGTGAAGAGGGGATGCCTAGAGAGCAAATGTCACAATTCTTACATTAGGGGAAGTTCTAGATTTGTTTTAATATTGCCTTACGAAAGTAAGAACTTAAAACTTGTATGCTATTAAATTATGGATTATTAGCTACATTTCTATGCAAAATTTATTTGTATACCATGAAAAGAAAGCTGTTTGATTAAATAGTGAATTTAACTCACTAAAACCTCGTGATTTACAGAAAAAGATGCCCATGGTGAGAGGGTTAATAGTACCAATGTATAATGAAATTCAAAAATGTGTACGTAAACTAGTATATACGTTATCAAAATATATAAGATTCTATTAAAGATAAAAAGCTTTTCTTTACTTCACAGCAACCAGTAATGTGTCATAATCAAAAGAGTTTAAGAGTAAACAACACATTAAAATTCAAAACTACATATATAAGCTAGTATATGTATCATTGAAATACTTTGAACATGTATAATATTTGCTTCTAATATGAGCCATTAATTCATCTTCAATTCAAAATGTCAATTTATAAACTTCTGATTATCAGTTAAACATGGGTTTTACAAAAATCTTCTTAATTTAAGTCATTCATTTTTTTTAAAGAAATTATTTATATGATGATATTGCTTTCCTAAAGCTTTTATCTAGTGCAGTGGCATAGAAAGCAAAATCTAGATTATAGTAATGAATATGTACAAGTCACTAAGTCATTATTGGTCATGAACTCTAAGGATCTGATCAACATGTGTTTGTTTATAATAAGATGTGGTGCAGAAAAAATAAAATTAATGAACACCTTAGGTTAAGTATAATGTTTTAATAGCTACTTCTATAGACACCTATTAGTAATAAAAAGAATAAAATACATGAATTATCTATGAAATCAAAAGTTAAAATAAAACCAACGATTTTGCAACTGTTTCATTATTATAAAAATTCCCAAGCAAGTGCTTATTAAGCATAAAGAATGCAAACAAACACAAAAGGAAACAGCTATATGAATTGTTAAAAATGGTTCGTGTAATCTGTAAACTCTTTTTGGTTGTCCACTGACAACCCTAATACCAATGATGAAATAATTTCAAAAAAGGCAGCTGCATTGTAAGACATTGGCAAAATATTTTTTATTTTTGCAAAAGTTGTTGATGTATACAGAGATGATGGAATTGTTGGGCGGGTCAGCAATACAAGATATAATACCAAAAGGTTTAATCATCAAACAAAATGTTAGTGAAGAATGGTTTCTAGGCGTGCATGGTTTGCTATTGATTTGGGAGTATGGGTTATACCCAATTGTTACACACTCAGACATGCTCGTGGTTATGGAAGGTGAGTATTTAAACTTTTGTTTTCTATTAATATATGAAAATTAGAAATATAATTTTATTATTATTGTATATGTCATCCAGTGATTATATTTATCCAAAATTTAAAAAAATAATTTTTAAGATTTTTTATTACTTGTAGTATATTTGTAATAATTTTTGATAACATGCATAAATTGGGGAATATTTTTTTAAAATTGGAATTCTTAGAATGATAAATATATATTCATTAGGTCTGCCCTCAGGAACTGGATGTTTCAGGTTTCCAAGGATGGAATGAACTGGACTACACTGTATACTCATACTGATGATTGTTCTTTGAATGAACCAGGATCCACAGCATCTTGGCCCTTAGAGACTCCACCTGATGAAATACAAGGCTGGAGACACATCAGGCTACATCAGACGGGAAAAAATGCTAGTGGACAAACTCATTATCTGTCGTTGTCTGGTTTTGAAATTTATGGAATTGTTACTGGTGTATGCGATGATTTAGGTGGGTGTGTAACCTCTAATACTGTGATGCTATTTTTTACAGGCATTGTGTTGTTTTTTAAATTTACATTAAGGTATAGGATGTTAATTTCACACATGTTGCTATTTATCAAATATTCATGAAATAATGACAATTTTCCCCTCGTGTCTTACAAGACATTCCAGTATTGAAAAGATTAGTTATTTTTAAGACTGTATGCTACAAAATAATTATGATTAAGATATTTTGAAATGAAATTATATCATTAACAATTTAACTGGAAAGATGTGTAAAACAACATTTTTAATGTTTTAGACTTTATTCTTCTAAAATCCATATCTATTGTTAAAATATAGGATGGAAAATTAGCAAGGTTGAGCGATACCTAGATCTGCAGAAAAATAAGACATCATTAAATATCACATTTCAAATTTCAACAATCATAAATTTTGTGCAGAAGTAGGATAGTGCCCCTCAACACTGAAGATCTTGCACCTGCAATACATTTAACAAAAAAAACCTCCACTTAGTGGATTGGGCATGAAGCCCAAAACAGCTGGCCCCCAGATTCTTTGGACATTACACCTACTGATGTTTTAAGGAATTTCATAAAGAGCATGGTTTAAGATAGTAAGGTTGTTGTAAGGATGAATTGTGTCAATGTATCCAAGATGCCTTCAAGAAAGTTACTCTTGCAACATTGCAAAATACTTGGCAGGATATTGGGTACAGAATAGACATTCTGCATGTAACTGATAGTGCACAATCCGAGTTATAGCTATTGTATGTTGTAAAAAAACAAACCATTATTTTTGCACATGCAAACCATGAGTCTATGTTAAACAGTCTTCCCAGTATGATTGTTCAAAAGTGTTTCCAAAATCCTTGGACACTCTGTACACTTCCTAGTTGTTTTAAAGTTGGAATTACAAATTAGTTTGTAATATTTACTGTTGTGGCAAAGCCAAATTCTGTAGTACGTAAAGGTATGTATTTTGTATGGAACATTTGCTTCTACCAAAAGGAATGAACAGATCGATGACAAGTAGACAATTACTGCCCAAATGTTAAGTTTCGTAGGGAATCCCATATGTTCTTGTGTCGTTTGGAGTTTTCAGACTCCTATATGTAACAGTTATGATGGGTAAGTTTCCTTCTGACATCAAAACTTACTTCATCCAAGAAAACACTCTTCCAAGAATCCATTTTTGGCTTCTAACCTGTCCAGCATTTCCAATGTGTAGTCATAATGTTTTGGTCAGTCCTTTGGTAGTAAAGCTTGCAACATTCGGATTTTGTATGTGTACAGCTTCAGTTGACAATTCAACACGATGCATGGTTGATTTGGGGATCACCTGTTCCAGAGATGGTTCTTGTACAGACTTAGATGGGCTTCTTTAAAATGCCTCCTACACGATTGATGTATGTGGTCTGTCAGAACTCTTGCTTGTATAGAATGCTTCCTGTTTTCTTAAATGATAGAACTATTTGTAAATCACCTTTCATGTAGGTGGATTACATTTTATAACATTGTCTTATTTACCTTTGCATCTGTGTTTGTAGAGGAATCAAATTTAGCAAACCACAGCACACATTTTACTTTCCTCTGTAGTTGCCGTTTCGCTTTAGACAAATCCTACATTTCTCAGATTCCCAATGCCATCTAAAAAAAACTAAACATTTTTCTTGCAAAAAAACTAAATGTCTGTGTTAAATAGTTTTACTTGTCTGATTTTTCAAAAGTGTTTTCAAAATTCTTGAACAACCAGTAAATTTAATAACCTTAGAAGTTGATTAAACTTCCTATTTCTAATGATTTTGAAATTTAATTTTGAAATAAAGTATAAGTAAGATTAAGAGGTGTTTGGAGTGAAGTAAAATATTTCTTTTGTATTGTACTGCTAAATCAAATCACAGATTTTCTGGCATTTGACTCGCAACCTGCAAGTTGCAGGTTCTAATCCCTGTCTCTTGAAACATGCTCACCCTTTCAGCTATGGGTGTGTTATGTGATGGTCAATCCTACTATTCATTTGTAAAATAGTCCAAGAGTTGGCAGTGGGTGGTGATGACTAGCTGCCTTCCTTCTAGTCTTTCACTGCTAAATTAGGATGGCTAGTGCAGATAGCCCTCATGTAGCTTTGCATGAAATTCAGAAAACAAACACACAGATTTTAATATTTTCACCTGAGATTCCCATTTGGGTCAGTAAAATCATTCAGTCTTTAGTAAATAATTGCTGAGATGCTTAATTTGAACATAATGTATTTCTTACTTTACTTTGGACAAGTGAAATTATATGGTTGTTAGAAAGCATAATCTGTGCAAGAATCCATTGTTTAAGATACTTGACTTTTTATCAAACAAAAATTCTGATTTTCATGGATTTTTTGAACTGTCTGGTATCAAACATAGGTTTTTTTTTTCTTAGACTCTGCAGACTTTGCACATAATATTTTAGTTTGAAAGAAGTGAGAGGAAAGGGAACATGCATGTTTTAGTGCCATTAGCCCTTTCCAGACATCTGGAGAAATACACACAGCCAAATTGCCTGAAACTTGCATGCAACAAAATGTCTAGTTTTGGGTTTGAAAAAAATTTAGTATTTCTATGACTTTATTAGGTTGTGAAATTTGTTGTGAGACACTATTTTTATAAAAACATTAAATACTTCCTTTTGGTTTTAAATGTTTATTATTGATGATAAAGTTCCA